CTATCTCAATTCGTGGCCTCTGAGTTTGAAGAGAGTTGTTCCTTGCGGAGTGGTTGAATGTATGGCCCGTCTCTCTCGTGATTGATCCGATCCTTGTTGTTGGAACTTGGGAATGTTTATTACTCGGGAATTGGTTGGCAATTTGTTCATCGATGGGTATTTCAGGTGCTCGAAATGATACTGAGGGTCGAAATCTTATTTCGTTCCTCAATTTTTGGCTGATTCATCTTTTTGTGTGGACTGATTTGTGAAGATAACCTCGAGCAACTTTTTCAGATTGCCAGCCCCCTGCACGTTAAATAAGACTCACGCTCGCTCCCGAGTCTTCGAGGTTGGTGGCAGAAGTGTGTCGAAATGTGTGTCCTCTATAGTCACTTGGTTTCTCCAAATACAAAAACAGAGCAATATCCTTGGGCATTCTTGCCAGAGTGTCTTCCCCAACATTTTATCTAGCACATTTTCTTTTATGGTAACTAATGAAAAAGTGGGAAGTCTCAGTCTGTGTTGGTCGGGGTTTCATGTATTTTTTAACGGTGCCATAAAACTCCCCATCAACTACAAAATCTCGATCAAAATCATTTTTAATGTTATATAATTCGAATGTTATTTCCCGTTTCTTTTGATCATCGTAAACATTATGAGCGTCCAATTTATGGAGTTCATCCTTACGACAAGTTCCACACACTCCAACAATCAATATAACCTGTAAAGTAATTAATAATTCTCATAAATCTCAAATTTTCTTTATAACCGAGAGAAATTTCTAGTAAAACGTGTCTTCTAACTTTTTATTGTAAACTTCAATAATAATAATAATAATAATAATAATATAGGAGAAGGGCAAAATAAAACAGTCGAAAAACTACTATTTAACGCAATTCTAGCGAAAAAAAAATTTGTATCAGCTTTTGTTTATCAACTTTTCCTATTATTAGGGGTACTGATGAGAATAATAATTTTCTATTCGTCTTCCAATTTAATTGATTATAAGTCAATCGATTAGATTCGGCCGATTACACTTTTCTTTTTTCACTTGATCGGAATTCAAAATCACATTTTCCTTTTTCCCACTCTGGGTCTCTCCCTGGGCCTTGCTCTGGACTTTGAATTTTGCTGTTTCATTTTCTTTTCAATTTATCCATTGACAGAATCTTCTCCTGTCAAAACTTCTCAATAGGTTTCCATTCTCCTGAATGAAAAATTATTATTCTCCCAAGTACTCCCAATTATTATTCTCCCATTAGTACTCCCAAGAATAGAAAAAATTTATAAACAAAAGTTAATAGAAAAAGAAAATAATTAAATTTTTTTAACTTCCCGATCTATCAGGTAGTTATCGTAATGACCTCGGCAATCGAATGTGGAATTTTCATGATTTGTCCACGTTTCTTGACGTTTAGAATCATTTTCAATGAATCTTGAAGATATGTTCGTGTGTATGTGTGTGTTTGTGTATGTACGTATGTAAACAAAATTTTGCCCGACGATTACTCTTGAACGAATGATATGATTCAATTTTTTTTTTGTAATAGATGCATCTTTGTGTAACTTAGAACTGATTAGTTCGTGAAGACGATCGTCTCAGCGGTTCTTCAGTTATTCGCAAAAAACATGTGAAAAACCGCCAAAAATGACGTTTTTTTCACTTATTTGATCATTTTTCCAGTGGAAATGATGCAATTTGGATTGTTCTCTATACAATCGATGAATTTTTGTATGCAGTAGAACAAAGTGGATTTTTAACAAAATCGACTCAGGCGTTTTCCAGGTATTCTAAAAATAAAACTTTTGGAACTTTGATTTTTTTTTTATTATCATAGCTCTGATTCTATAAATAATCACAACAATGATCTCCATAAAACCCCCACGTGGTGCAGAATAGGGGGACATGGACCAGGGGGTGAAATGGACCGCGGGGAAAAATGAACCCGTGTGCCCTGAATGACTGAATACACGAGGTCAGAAGATAAGAATTAGAAAAATTATGTGGTGAAATTAATATAGGTGGGATTGTATGCATTAGATGGGGCGAAGAAGAGTTAATAGAAAAGATCAATATGACTGAGACATAATCAGATGAAAAGAAGTGTAATGTGATAGAATTTCTAGTATTCTGGGTCAGGACTCCATTCACTCCCTTGGTTCACAACCCTTATTGAGTCACGCGTATCTACTCAACCACCAGAACTGATTGAATTACATGAGAACAATTGACTTAACCATTCTTGAATTATTGGAATGGATCATGAAAATTTCGTCGTACAGATTTTTGTACTACGATTGCACTTGGATAAAAGATGAGAACCAAATTTTCTCTGTGCCCATCGATGCGCTTCAATCAGACTTGGACCTGATTAAATTTTGAGTTGAATCGTTTCGGCGGTTTGTTAGTTAAATAATTGAAACTAAAAATAAAAATTTATCGAATTTTTTTCGCCAGTCGATAACCGTGCGAATAATGTTTTTTTCCGGAATCTGGGAAAATTATCCCAGTTAGAGTAAGAAAACAATGAGCGATGACCCAAATTTTCAATTGTCAATAACAAGTATTAAGAGGGGACCCCGGTAAAACTTTGAAATCTGCGATTAGTGACGGGATCCACTGAACAACTTTTGATACATGATGGAGGTGATGAAAGAGTAGGAAAATTGATGGACCCATTTTGCCCCGTATTTTAACGTAAATCGTAATTTTGCGTATTTTTACATGAAAAATGCCCCTTGCACCACATTTTTTATTCGATCCAGGTTTTCTTTTCTTTAGAATGTTCGTCTGATTTCAAAGAATAAAATCACGTATGCTTATGTATGTATGCGTTTTGCCTTACGTGGAATAGATCATGAAATAAATAATTTTTCCAATTTACTAATTGCATGCGGTTCTGCATGACGTCAAACAAATGGAGTATATTTTTTTATTGAACAAACGTTCATTGCGTTATTCTTATGTACCATTGTAATCTCCAACAATTCCCAAAAACAATTTTTCAGACGTTATACAGAGATGAGTGAAAATAGTAAATGGAAAAAACTCAATGGATGGGATTTGAATTAATTTTGTATAATCGATGCGTCTCCACATAACTTGATTCTCATTGGATTTTGAGCGAAATCGCCTCAGTGGTTGTTTAGTTTTTTAAATAAAAGTTTCGAATTTTGCAATTGAAAAAAAGGGAAAGTTGGAAAATTTTAGAGTAGGTTAACTTTGAAGTTGGAAAATTTTGAGGTGGCTCAACTTTGAAGTTGCAAATTTTTAAGTGGATCAGCTTCGGAGTTGAGAGAATTTTGAAGTGGGTCAAGTAAAGTGGGTTTAATTTAAACTTGATTGAAGTTTGAGTTTACTTAAATTGCAAATGCGTTCTTTGCAAAATCACCCTAAGTGTAATGCCACAATGGATACAACGCTAAACGCATGCAACGCATGAAATAATTATCCAACTGTTTACCGAATATTTCTGACAATGACCAGCGTTGCGTATAGCGTGAGCTACATTCACTGTGGCATGAACCCAGCGTTTATTAAATCTGCGAAGAAACTTTCCTTCTATGGGTATTTCTCCGGAGAAATGTGAGAAAAAGATTCAATAAATACGTAATAAAAAAAAGTAATGAAAGAAAAAACAAATGGTCGGGAAGTTATTGGTTCGACCCGTAATGGGTCCCACCCAATTCCACCAACCCCTACCGGTCATACCCCAAACAGGGAGCGCGCGAAACGCGCGGCCGGGCCTGATTTTTTTTGCTTGAATTGCATCAAATAGTTGTCTTTCGAATGTTCCATTTTGCCCTGCTGTTTCATTTTGTCCCATATTCCCCTAATTCGCAAAAATGTTTTTTTTTAATAGAGTTTTTTTTTAATAGAAATTGAATGGAAGTTTCTAGCGAATTCGCTAAATTTTTTTATGAAATTTTCTTGTGCTTGGTTGATTGGAAATACTTTTATTATTTCCCTCATTAAATTTTCTCCCCTCAATATACGTACATTAATTTTTATATTCAAATAAATTTATAGTTACTTAGTGAAAATTACCTTTGTGAGTAAATAATAATAATCATCAGCTTCTTCCAGGAATTGATGCACTCGCTCTGGCATTAAAACTCTTACTTTTTTTGGACTGTAGCCCTTTTCATTTTGTTTCAGAAAAGCAATCACTTGGTGATGATTTTTTATGTTTATGTTATGTTTTGTAAGAACTGTTGATTGCAGCATTGAACGTAATGACCACAACGTAGTGGGGCAGTATTTTCCACAGTCTTTCAGTTGCCCAAAATAGACGAGAAAAATATCCTCAGTAAAAGAATTGATTCCGTTCGATTCTCTCCATTTCATAAACTTTTCATACCACTAATCGTACTTCCGTTTCGATTTTTTAGGCATTAAATCGTCACAATAGGATTCTGCTTGATCTTTCACTACTTGCGGTATATCATTATCGTTATTGCGATAAAACTCTTCCACAAAATCTGCCTCCATTTCGATGGATTGTGGATTATCATTGAAATTGAAACAAATAAATCACAGGTGTGATAAATGCACATACAAAAAGTTACTTATAGGTTAGTAAGGATGGAATTTCACTGCGTTTCCAAGGATTTTGACACATGGTGGCGCATGCGTGGAACAATCTGAACCAACAAAATATAGGTAGAGAGTGAGAATAACAATCCGGACCTTGGAGAGACTCTTTTCTAGGCTCTGGACAGCCTGGAAGAGAGCCTCCTTGACGTCTCTAAACGGCATAGAAATGAGGTGGTTTTCCGCCCCCAGTCTGGAAAAAAGTCTTTGATGTCCCTCGGAATAAGGAATAGTTTTCCTGCGAGGACATAATCGGACATAATTTTCCATCACAACGCGTGCGAAGTGGGATTTAGCGGGAAATGGGAATGGAAATGGAAATTTGGTGGGAAATGTCAATTTATATAAATCATGATTAAAAAAAACTTCTCTGTGGTTAAAGTCTATTATTATTTTCTATTGTTGTTCCTTTTACTATTTGCAGTTCAAGCTTATTCATGCGCAAGATGGGAGTGGAAAGGGTGCCGCCATTGTAGCAGCAATAGCTCTGCGATTGAAAAAGCGACTGGAATCAACGAAATGAGTCACAACCCAATGGAACACATCAAAATTTAAATCACACAGTTTATTTGGAAAATAAATAATCCACGGTTCTTCGTAATTTTCGAACAGTACTAGCACTTGCATCGCCATATCCTGGAAAAATAAACTAAGTGAAATTTTCAAAGTTCGATGGATCTTAGCTTGCTTTGAGTGTGCGGACAATTTTTTTCTGGTATATTTTTTCAGCCTATGAATTTTGGGAGTTATCTTTTCCCTTTAAATACCGTACAAAACATTCCAACTATTTAGATTCTTCTGTCATACTGACATCGTGCATGAAATATTTAGGAATGATGAATTTATATTAGTTCCTATTGTATATAAAATTTCTTTAGAATATTTTTGAATTGAATGACCCCAAAGATATTACAAAAAAAATAAAGTGGTAATAAACAGACAAACATTTTGTTACGGATTGGAAATTCTTATCTTACGTATCTACTGGAAATTCTGAATTTACGAGTATAGGAAAGTTCCCCCAATAGCAAAAGTCTCCGACAGTAAATATCTCTAAAATTTGGCATAGTCAAGTCGAGCTGCGAGACACCAATTTGAATCATGTGAAATTCAATATTCCTCTACTTAGTTATTCTATCACTGTTAAAGCGGAACGTCGGTGTCCCCACTCGAGCGTCCTACTGCGTTTTACTACACTCGACATCTTAGAGCGTTAAGGTAAGGACAGCAATTGCACATGACTAGCATTGCTCAACGATTGTTCGCTGGTCGCACACCGATTGCCCACGGTCAGGCTACCCATTGCGCATGACTACTGCACGTCTTGCGCAATAGTTGTGCACGCCTAGTGCTCTGATTACACAACAGTTGCATACGACTAGTGCTCCGATTGCGCAACAGTTACACACGACTAGTGCTCTGATTGCGCCACAATCGCATACAACTCGTCCGCAGGTGATGTACGCAGGTGAGAACCACTGATCAAAGCATTAATTCTAGTATTATAGTTTTTGTTGTTGTTTCCGTGGTTCCCGGTAGCTTACTTGGAAAAGTGCACGGCGCGTAAGTGGGAGACCCGGGTTCGAATCCCGGCTGGGCGGATCGGAATTTTTTCTCTCTACATTTTAATTTTATTTGAAATTATTTAATGCCTAAAGTTGGTTAGGCGCCGTGCTGAGTTGAATTTGGAGTGAGAAAGTTTCCGTGGTTCCCGGTAGCTTAGTTGGAAGAGTACTGTTCGGTTTTCCACCGAATTCTTTTCCGCACACACACACACTCACGCACACTCGCTCCTCTCGCATGCTTGCATGGCTTATCTCACTGACCTGCGCAACCGATTGAACTGACCAGTGGCCTCTCACCTCCGACACCTGAGGCGGCACTTGGTGTCCAGTGAACGCCCCCATTTAAATTGGGGCACGTTAGGACTTTTGACTTCCGCTACCTGCCACCTCGTAGCCTATTAATCGTTCTCATTTGCTTTTTGGCCTTAGTACTGTGTACATTGTATTCCGCGAATATCCTAATATTTCTGTTATCCTAGAGTTTTGCGTATTATTGCTCTGTATTATAAATTCTGTCAACTGCGTTAGTAAAGATTGTGACCCGCGCTAATATTCCTTGACCTTCATAATTAATTAAATCTGACACGTGTAAATAATTGACTTTGTTTGATAATTAAATCGACTATTGTGACCAACGTGCACGTGCAGTGATTTGTGGACCTTCTCCCGCTCCCGTTAGAATCCGTTTTTATCTCGTCCATCGCTTATAATTTCCACAGATCTCAGACCCGGCATCGAACATTTTGGTCCTTCGAGCCGAATCTGTGGAATATTTTTCGTTTTTTTCGAGTTTATGAGTGATTTAAACGGGAGTGAAAAACGGACAGCGTTCACCAGTGGTGCTCATCGTCTGCTTCCCGACATCGAGTGGGCGGGAAGTGGAGTTCGGCTGCAAGCGGTGCTCATCCGGATCTTCTCGCGCCGCATCAGGGACCTGCGATACCGACCAGGCGGTGAATTTGAATTGATCACCGTTCTCGAAAGAAAAGTTTATTTTTTTTATTTCTCCTTTACTGGGATTTTTTTGAATTTCTCGTGTTTACGAACTAATGCACCTACGTTAGCGATTAATTTATTTTTTGGAATTTCGAAATTTATTTGGAATTATTTCCGAGAATTCATTACTTTTGAGACCTTCGTTCTTCGAATCATCGGACCTGTGCTTCCAGTTTCCAGTTTATGTTGAGCTGCTCCTTCTAAAAGAAAAAAATTATTATAATTTTTAATCAGGACCGGCGTTATCGGATTTTCTTGGTCGTTTTGGCCTACTTGTCTTTTGGAAGTCTGGTATTTGCTCTTCGGTCCCGATTCTTATTATTGTGCTTTTGCTTGAGGTTCATTTATTTTCCTTATTGCACATCCTTCATTGCTTTTAATCGACGAATACTTCTTTTGATCAATGATGTCATCTCTTAATGCCATACTCACTCTCAAGAGGACCCGCGCTAACTTCAATGAAAATTTAAGTCTGGATCTTTTGAAGGACGATCCCTCGAGGCAATGCGTTATTGCCCTTCGTGATAAGCAAGCTCTATTCGAGAATTATTCCAGCAAATTGGAGATCACTCACGAAGAGATGTTAACAAACCCTTCAGGCTTTGAAGTCAAGGACCTGCTTGATTCCGAATATATTAAGTTCGGAGTCTGATCGTACTCTATCCCAAATTGCGTCAGACGAAGTCCTTCTCTCTCATCCCCTAGATAAGTGCAGTCCAGATAATTTATTGGAGACTGCGATAGGTATATTAAGGATGCACGATAGGCCTGCGGACGTACCATCATCAACTGCAAGTGCTCACTCTGAAGATATCGTTCAGCTCGATCAGTCCATAGCACTGATAATTCTTTAGCGGACAGTGGTCACCCAGTAAGCCCTGCTCTCAAAGTACAGTCCACTTCTAGGACATCACAAGGGGCAAAGAAGGTGCAATACCCCTGTTCCTTCTGCCAGGGAGATCATTACATCGCCTCGTCTGATACGTTAAGGGATCTGACGTCCGTCGCTAGGAAGGAGGTCGTTGACCGTCTCTACTTTTGCTTCAACTATTTGGGGAAGCACAGTATTAGGGTGTGCCAAACCACCCGTAGATGCAATCACTGTCAGGAGAGGCATCATACCCTATTGCATCTCGATCGCTCTCGTCGCCCAACTCAACGTGGCCTTGCGTCTCAGAAAGCTCCTCTCACCGATTCGGGAAGTGAGCGTCAAAAGACCTCTGCTCCATTGACCAGCGTACCTGTCGTGATTTATACTCACACAGGTGGCAGCGTTAAGCCCTCTGAATCGCCCAATGTTGAAGCCTCCGTTTCGGCAGAAGTCGAAGCCAATAAGTCGTCCAGCGTTCAGATCCCCAGCTCGTTCAGCGTTCAGACTCTTGAGCCGTCCAGCGTTCAGGCCTCCGAAGAGACCAATGTCAAGGTCTCTGCCTCGGACACTCAGGCGTCAAAATCGATCAGCGTTCAGGCGTCCGTCTCAACTGAAGCTCACGCATCTACACCGACTAGCTCTAATGCCTCTGGATCAAGCAGTGTTCAGGTCTCCGACCCGAACATCGAGGAGACCGAGGACTCAATCAAGGATTGGAGCCTCAAGTGAATTTGATCATCGTCTACTAGTACATCGCCCAGCTCAACGATTTGTCGTATTGCCCTTCGAATAGATGTTACCTACACATTCAAATGCTCTTTGTCTTCGGTTCAGTCGGTAACCGCTTATTGATGTTGACAAGATGACCTTGGCACGTGCTGCGCAAGCACCATGAGGGTTGAGGATCTCCGAAGCACTTCAAGTTGGCCCGTCTGACGTCTCTTCAAGTACATCGATCTCGCTTAGCGCTCAGAGCTTGGCCTCCCTGAAGCCTCATCTCAGCAACTCTTCTCGCCCCTCGCATCAGCTGGAGTAACAACATTCTGACTTCAGATAGAAGCGTCTTCTTTTTGGCCTGCGCACACTGGACATGCAAGCACTGCCTCCAGACAAGGTCATCCTATTTCTGTCAAAACTGTATGTCAGCACTGACTTGCTGACGGCCGGGAGGGTAAATGGATCGCTCATTCTTCCCTCTCATTTTATTTTGATGTTCAATATTCTATTTAAATATTGAATGAATCACTCGGCTTCTCAATAATCGGATAGTTCTACGAATTCGTCATTCCTCGAACGAGATGTCGGACCTTGATGAGGATTTACGTCCCTCATTATCGAACCGAGCTCGGTTTGGGAGTGAGTCTTTTGGGGATCAATGGAATTTACGCCTCCATGACTCCTGACTGTACTTACATTGAGATCATCGTATTGAGAATTTGCTCAGTATACGTCGAGAGACCTTCGTCACTCAACTCTTCAATTGAACTTCGTGAAGTCAGTTCTGAGGTGAACTTTCACCAGACCAGCGTATATAAATATAAGCCAGAGACATGTCACATCTCGAAGGGAAGCCATGGACCAGCGATGATCAGCATATACGACCCTATTGTGTGAACCAAGGGTCAGCTCAATAGTTAGGTATTTGTATTGGAAGGATAATGGATGGTTCTGCGTTTAATCAACTTTACGTCAAGAACATCGTTTTGAACTTGCATAGGCTGGTGACGAGTAGTCAAACAGCAGCTCAATTGAGATCAAACTCCCGAGAAAGTTTCATTTCTACTTGGGATTGATCTTCGATATTCCCAGATCTTATTCGTCCGGAGTGATATTTTGTTCAACTCATTGAACTTCGATTTCTTGAATTGCCCCGAGTAATATTTGATTCTTTTGTTCTAGTTAGTTTCGCTAGATTATCATCGATTATCATGATCTGCTGAGTTGGAACTGCGTTGATAAGGCGTCACGAGACGTCATTGCTAATCTCCTGAACTTTCTTAATGCTCAATGTGCTCATGGTATTAGAAACGTTGATGAGGCGTCATGAACCTTGTCCTCGAATCTGGTATTAACCGGTACCTTCAATGGACCATATTGGAGTATTATGAATCCGTCGTATTCTGCCCAGCGAAGAAACTTCTGTCCAGCGAAGAATCTCTGTCTAGCGAAGGAATTTCCGCTCATTGACTCACGCTGAACTTGGGCCTACCAACTTCCAAAGATTGCGCGACTCCGATGGATTTGTGAGGATTCATATTTGGCAAACTGCAGATCAGCTCACGGAATAGAAGCTCCGATGGCACAATCCACTGTGGCTTATGAAAGGTTCATCGTCTTGGTCAGCTCGAAAGATCTCTTCAGGGAACAACAGACCTTGAAGAGAAACCTTATGTCGTGCTCCGCGTGTAAGCCCAGCGCCCAGAAATCTGGGATCTAGTCCATCGTTACTCCTCGCTCATTACCATGCTCAGAGTCACGGCTATTTGTCAGCGTTTTATTGCTCGGCTTAGGAAGGTTCCTGCTTTATCGTCAGGAGCATCGCTCAACCCTGGTGACATCAAACAAGCTCAGCTCTTCTGGATCACCAGGGAGTTCACTCGCACAAACCGGAGACGTGCTCAACTCATAAAAGCTCTAATCGTTCTCTGAGAACGTGAATGAAGTCAGCGCCTCGCCTCAGGACAGTTCCAGACCAGTGAAACTCTGACAGCTCTGACTGAATCTTCTCTGGAACCGTTGAACGTCTCCCGATTGTCTCGATGAAAGCTCATCCAGCAGAGGGTTCAGTGCTATTGGAGACGGCGGTCCACTAGCTAACTGCAACATCTCCAGTCCATCTCCAAGCTGCACCATTCAACGCACAACGCGAAATTTCTAAACTGGCTCTACCACCCATCTCACGACATCAGAATTGGTTCCATAGCCACCAACGAAATGGCCTCTTGCTCGAGTCATCGCTCTCCACCCTGGTAGAGATGGACTCACCAGGGTGGTCACCATTAAGACGTCCAGTTCTGCGGTTCAGAGGCCCACCTC